AACGGACCTCGGCCTCGGCCTGCGCTGCACACAAAGCCGCTGGACCTCCCGAGGAGGGGCAGGGGCCCCCCAAAAACTTTTCCGCGCCCATGTGCCCCCCCACCCCAGCCCCCTCAGAAATGCCATTTGCCCCTTGAGGTGGGGGCCGGGGGGAAGTTTGGGGAGATATTGTATGGGACGCAAAGGGTTAAGGGGGACTGTTTTACCCCCTCCCCACCCACCCCCAAAATAAAATCAGATTGCTCTTTTTAAATAAAAGTTTTGAAGAGAGGCCTTATGGAGGAAGGGGACCCCTGCTCTACCTCCACCCAGGAAATGGTACCTTTGAAGAAGGGGTCCTCCTTCCCACCAGAGGGGTTCAGGGGACTCTTTCTAGCCCCCCTCGCCTGGCAAGACGGATTTTAAAAATAAATATTTGAGGAGCGGCTTGTATGTGAAGCAACTATTTTTACCTACCCCTGCCAAAGAATTTTTTTTAATCATTTATTTTTTTCAAAAGCTTGGAAAATTGGCTCTATTAGAACAGTAGAGGTTGAAGGTTAATGAGAGGTCAGCCCCTCCTCCCATTACTACCAATCCTGTGGATTTAGAAAAGAACAAATTTTTAAAACTACTAAAATGGAGGGCTATTTTTTCCCAACATCCTAACCAAATCTTATTTATTTATTTATTTAATTTTAGGAACTCCTTCCTATGACTTTGGGAGATTTTTAAAGGTTGGGTTTTTTTGGTTTGTTTTTCCTGTTCTCCCACCTCCCTGAAAAACTTTTTTTTTCTTTTTGAAATTAAAAGTGTGAAGGCCCTGCCCTACAAGGAGATGAGTGATTGCTGCAATCTTCATACATCTCCAATTTTAGAATAAAAAGTTAAAGAATTGTCATCTACAAGATGAAATGAACCAACAATCTATCTTCATTCCTCCCCAAGAGAAACTATGAAGGCAGCTTTTCAAAAAATAACAATATTGGAAACGAACTATAACAGGTGCCTTTATTCTGCCCCATATTTAAAAACCAAATGTATTGGGTATTTTTTTTAATGTTTCAAGATCAGTAAGAGACCAAAGAATTAAAGAATACCCCCTACCATTCCCCCCCAAAAGTTATTGTTTTCTAAATACCCTCTCTCCCTGAGGAGTTAATCTGTGAGAATTTGACATTCTGCGGGAGGAATAAAATTAAGAAACACAATAACATAGACACAGACACACACACACACAGACGCACACACACACGAAGTTAAGAGGAATCTTCTAGCCACTTCCAAGCCTTCAAAAGTTAGCGATTCATTAAAATAAAAAGTGGCCATTTCTCTTCCTGCCAGCCTGGCCAGTATGTTCCTGGCAGAGATTTGGTCAGCCCTGCCAAAGCTGCTGTGGATCAGTCATGGAAGGAAGGCAGCAGCCTGAGGAGCCTGGCAGAGCTGCAGCCCCCTGGGCATATTTGCTGCCAGGTAGCCCCCTCTACTACCTGCCTGCCCCTTAGCCACTGGGTGGCTGGGTCTTGGTTCCTAGAGAGATGCCTTAAGATTCTTGTTTCCCTGGCTTGGTCCATGGGTGATGGTTTCTGGGCATGCCCTTGACTTAAAGCCAGGCCTCCTCCTCTGCCCAAGCCAAGCCTGAAGTCTGGTGTAGAAAAGAACTGGACCCAACATAGCATGGTGGCTCTGTTACCATCGCCCAGAGCTGCCAGGGTGTCAGGCCAACTGGACTGCAGTTAGTATGTGCCAGGCACCAGCTTGCCCCAGCCCTTCTCAAACTTGACCTCTTCTAGAAAATAATTGAATTTGTAATTCATTTGGTCCAGGTTTGGGCCAGTGAGTTTATAGTTCCAGCAAGTTCCCAAGTGATGCTAATTGATGCTTGCCTAAGAGCTACCTTTCAGAAGCCATTGCAATGAAATGCCAAGAGCAAGTATAGAAGTGCAGGAGGAAGAGGAAGAGCCCAACAGAGCACTCATAGCTCGTGTCTACAATCCTAGCTACTTAGGAGGGCTGCCATCTCTGAGATCTGAGGATCAAAGTTCAGAACCAGCCCAGGGAGACAAATCAGAGAAACTCTCATCTCCAATTAACAAGCAAGAATCCGCAAGTGTATGTGTGGCTCAAGTAGTAGAGCTCCAGCCAGGAGGGGAGAAAAAGCTGCAGACAGTCAGCGAAGATTCCAGGAGGAGTAACACCCGCTTCCAGGCCTGTAGTAGCATCCTTCCTCTCTGGATCTCAAGCCGACAAGGTCTGTCTAGAGCAGTAATGAGGTCCTCAGACCTGAGTGCATTTAAGGGAGGAGAAAAAACTATAGCTTTTTACTAGTTTCTCAAAAGGCCTCACTGCCCCTCCCCCAACCTGGGCTGATGAGTGGCTTGTCTCCAGGCAGCTCTGGCCTGTGAAATCCTGTGGTCTTTCTCAGCCCTCTCTCCCTGGAACCACTGGACACCCTCTCCACCTCCCCACCACCCACAAGACAGACTCCTAGAGCATCCAGCCCCTCTGTAGATCTCAATCTCCGTCCCACACGTCCTAACCCGTGGAGGGGGTGTCTTTCCTCCACTGTGCCCAGCTCGGCCATGAGGATATGCTAAAGACAACAGCTGAACTTGGTGTCTTCCTGACAAAATCCAACTTATAATTGAACTCACAAACCACAGCAGAAACTGTGCAGTCATCCAGAGCTGATCGATCTCTTTTTAGAGTATTAACTAAGGGTAGATCCACAGAGAGCAAGGATCTTAACAGAACTTTTAGAATGTGGTAAGCATCCACCCAAGAAAGGGGCTAGGTGGCCTCTTGAGGTGGTCTATTGGTGCCCTGGGGTCTTCCTGGAGCTTCTCAACTGTAAGGACAGCAAGACCAGCCTGGTAAAGGGAACAAATCACGACCCATGGAGAGCTTCAAGCAGGGACCCTGAGAACTATCAGAAGAATGCTGAAGAAGGCTGAATTTTACAGGCAGAGTGGCCAAGGTTCTTTGTGAAAATTCAGGGTTCAAGAAAAGACCTGCACAGTGCTGGGTACATACTGGCAGAATGGCCATTGAAAGCCAAAGCTCCCACTGGTGAACATGCAGTCCAATAGGGACCTCTGAAAGCTCTCCCATCTCTGAAGTGCCGTGGTCGAACTTGATTTGCCTGAAATAGCCAAATTCAGAAAGCAGGTGACCTTTCTACACATCCAGCCTATTTTTCCCAGAACACTGGCACAGCATCATAATTAAGAGCCCAGAGAGGCACCCCCCACCACCACCACCACTACTGTCAACCATGGCCTGCCTCACCTTTGTGGTCATAATTCTTCTCATCTTCAAAATGACACTGACAATACCACTTGTCTCAGGGGTGTTCTGAGGATTGTAAGTGTCTAGAAAGTGTGCCTAGCCTAGAGAGGGTGCCCCACATGTCAGAGCCAGTGGGAGTCTCATCTCCATCCTGTCTGGCTGTGTGTTCCTGGCCTCCTGCCTCAATCTCTGGGCTTTCAATTCTGTCTCAGAAAAAATTGGATTCTTAAACTTGTACCAGCCCTCTCTAAGTTGCAATCAGTAAAAACAAAACCACACTAACAAAAAGTATGTATGTAAATAAATACGTTTTTAAAGGAAGATGTTATTTCATTAAATTGGAGAGAGGCCTCCTGATCCCCAAATCAGGAAATGAGAGGAAGCTTGGAGCCAAAAGCATTTCAGGAACTGAGCTTGCTTTCTCTCTCAAGGCTGCAAGCCTGCTAACACCTCAGTATCTTCTATTACCACTTCCTCTCCTTCCCTGCCTCTTCTTCCCCCTCCTCCTCATGCACCCCTCCTCCTCTCTTTCCTTCCTCCCTCTTCTCCTCTCCCTTGTCCTCCTCTCCTCCCCTCCCTGTCTTCCTTTCTCCCACCTACTCCTCCTCCTCCTTTATCTTCTTTCCTCTCTTTCTTTCTCTCATAGTATTTTCTTCTCTTGGCACACAGTCAAATTTATTGTCCAAAGTCCTACTAGTGCCAACAGGTACTGACTGGTGCTTCCTGGCATCCATCCAAACTCTCAAGAAAGACTGTGATTGGCCAAGCCTGGGTCAGGTGCCACAAGGATCATTTGTGGCCAAGAGGAGTGGATTGTTCCAGGCAAGAAGGCAGGGCCCAGAGCCTCCTCACATTGCCCAGATCCTGCTAAGACAGTTCCCCTAGGGAAGGAAGGGGTGTGGTGCTGGGCACCACTCAGACTCTTCCAACTGTACCTCCCTGTAGGCCACGAAGACTCACTGAGATACTGAGCCCAGAGCTGACCCCAAAGCTCCCTCCAAAGCGTCTCTTCTGCTGGCCTCTGATGACATTTGGGAAAGCGTGTTGAGGAGGCTAGGGCTTTGTGGAGGGGCTAAGGGGCAGATGTCAAGTTCTTATGATACCCAGTCAGTGTTGGGAAATGAGGCCTTGGATCTCAAATATCAATTAGAGTCTTGGCTAAAACCTGGTGGGTGTACCTCGGTGAAGAAGATACCATTAAAGAGAAACAGAGGCTGTGATGTATAGAACAGAATAAAGGCAAGGATCTTGGGAACAGTGCCTTCTCTGAGTTGAGTGGCTTTAAGCCTGAAAACTTCAACAGTTACTTTTTACCAACCCAGCCTGGGCCACGGGGGTTCCCAAGTCTCTCACAGTGGGAGAGAAGCTTGTAATCCAAACTTATAAATTCCTAGGCAATTTGTACAACAAATTGGTGTTTTCTCCTTGATGGACGTCTTGGTAAGCAGAGGAGTACACTCATCCCCCATTTTAAGGATGATGAATTTGAGGGTCAAGTGCTTTGGTCAAACCAGGACATAGCCCAGGTTAACTCCTGTGCCATTCCAAATGAACAGATTCCTTCAGCCATCTTGCATTTGTTCAGAATTTTTTTCTCCTATTTCTTCTTTTCATTTCTCTCCCTCCCCATCTCTACAAAGAAAGAGGTTGAGAAAGAGCTACAACTCAACCAGCAACAATTTCTTGTTTGAGAGGTGCCATGGGGAAGTGTCAAGAAAAGCAGATACCTGAGGCTTTGCTGCTTCCAGGGAGGTAAGTTCAGATGGAAATATCAGAGGAAATGACCACCCAGGACAGACATCAGCAAATGGAAATGTCAGGGTCAAACTGATGGGCCAGGACAGGAACATGCAGCAAAGCCAAGTCTGAATCCTGTCCTTGGATTCAGCAGCAAATCTGGAACATGTGTCCATAACGCACAGTGTGTCTCTCACGGAGCCTGCCATCCCATGTAGCCCCAAGAAGGCCAACCATCCTGAAGAAGGTCTCTGGTCTCCACAGTTGAACTTGTGTAGGAATTTCTCCTTGGTACTCAATACAACTGGCTTGGGTCATCACTATGGCTTTAACCCTGATTTTAGTTCTACTGGATGATGACAGGGACGGGTCCCTGGTCTACC